ATGAAAGACTTTCTCCTCTTCAGTAAGTAGGACCTCCCCTGTAGAGTTGTCACCTAATAAGTCTTATCTAGGTTTTGAGACTCATCTTTCCTGAAGGCCAGATGAGATACTAAGAAGTGCACCCTGTAGGGTAAGAAGATCCAGATAGGCCGGGTCTCAGCTAGTTCCAAAGGACTGTCTTGCTACAATAGTCCACTCCAGATTCTGCTGCCATCTACCTGATTTTAATAATGGAAATAAGAGGGTCTACTGGTAAACCAGATAGGCTTTAGACTTTAAGGCTTTAGTCTCTTTCTCAGCAATGAACATCATTCAAGAAACAATTTAATTTCATCATTAATTCATCTGTCAAATAGTAGCCTTCTAATATTCTTGGCATTGATCCATACGTAAGTGAGTTTGAAAACTGCCTGCTGGACCCAATTCAAATAAGTAAATCTAAGGAAATATTTTTTGCTATTACTATAGGTTAAAAACTTTGAAAGTAAAATATGTTGGTTGAAAACATACTGTGGACTCATGTATGGTATTTTGATAAATTCACTTATTCAGTTAATGTGAATCATTAAAACTATAGGTTGTAAACCAATAATACAACATATGTAGATGTTACCATAGAGTAAAATAATATATGCTTATGGACATGCAGATAATGATAACAAATGATACCTAAATTACTTCCTTTACGTCAAATTTCTAAAAGAAAAAGTCACTGAAGTATACCAAAATCAGAATTAATTTACTGAATAACCCCCATTAAACCAAAAAGGACAATTTACTCTTGTGCAAATAACCTCCAAACTAGAAAAAAACAATACAGTACTGCATTCTAGGTTTGTGAAATGTAAACACACTCGTGGTGGCTACAAACTTCTGCTTGGTGCTCCTCCCCCACGCTGYAGGGAACTGGGATTTGGGATTCCTCAGCCTGGAGCAGCACACACAGCAAGTGTGCACAGCTCAGCTTTCCAGGTGCACAGAGACTCGCAAAAGCCTCCTGTTGGAGGAAAGACACCTCTAAGAAAGGACACAACTGAAAACTAGCCAAAGCCAAAAAAGCCTAAGAGGTGGGATTTGGCCACAGCATTGTAAAATGTCACAAAATTTTTATAACATCCATTTTGAAAATCTAAATAAAAATTAATAAGGTTGTTTTACCAATATTAATTTCAGCCTCCATAAATCTGTGGTTTTTCAGAAACACATAACAGTTCTATCAAACAAAAATATCAACCTTAAATGAACATCTACACACAAGACAAAATGAAAGTGACACGAGTGAAATCTCAGTCCCTTTGCACAAAACATGGCTCAAAGCACACAGATCCAGGACCTGGGGATCATCAGCTAGTGTACAGTGAGAAACGCCTCCTGATCCAGGACCGGCATAACCTAAAACAGCTCTAGTCCAAATCCARATCTGCATCACCCATCAGCCCACAAAATGAGGAGAAAAATGTCTTGAGCCTCAACCAAATGTAAATCAAACCACCCGCCTCATAGGAGAGGAACGGGTTAAGTAAACCAGCCGATCCTCACCGTTTGCAGTGAGGTCAGTTCCTATCACATCCGAAGTTGTCCTTTAAATATACCCAACTCCAAATTATACAGGAATAAAAGCCATTAATAAAAAAACAGAGCCAAAATTTCCACCCCATTCTATTACACCTGCTTTCTTTAAAAGAAGTCCTTCTAGGGAAACTATAAAATGAGCTTATATTAAAGTCTTATTGGACATTGTCTTATTATTTTTTAAATTGGTTCTCAAACCAGAATTCATAGTATTTTTATACTGGAGTAAGGATGATTTTCTCTTCATTAAAAGTATAGTAAAGGAACAAGATTTAGAGGTTAAGTACATTAATCAAAGTGTCCAAGTATGGTCTGCATTATTTTCATATCCATAACACACTTCTGAGGCAATACAATGTTGAGAAAAATGGAACAAATATATAAAAAACCTGGTCAAAAACTCTTTCTTAAAAGCAGACAAATAAACCAAAGTAAAAAAGGATTCCTGTTTCCCACTACAGACCAAAGGTAAGAAGGTGTTGTTCCCTAGAAGGTACTCAATGATTTAGTATTAATATAAACATAAATTTAAGTGATAGCTGTCTAATGGTGGTTACCACTAAGAAAACAACAATAACAACAACAACCAAAAAAAAAAAAAAAAAAACGAAAAGATCAAGTAGCACAAAAATCAGGATTCCCAATAAAAACAATTTTAAGCCATAAATAATTTTATCCCATATAACAGAAAAACAGAAAAGTGTAAACATTTTGCTACATTTTCTTTTTAAAATGATAGGCCTTTTGTATGAATCAACAATTTCACCTATATAAACCTTCTGCGGCAAATTTAGGCCACAAAAATCTTTATAAGACTTAAAATATCAAATAACCTAAAATTTCATTGGGGAGTAAGCAGGTAATCTTAARATACAATGTATCTTATGCACATCTTAAGGTAATCAGTAATAAGTTTGCTGATTCCTGCTTTGTAAAGCCAGCTAATCACTTCTCTTTTAATGGTAAGACTCTTTTTTATTACATTGTACTAAATTCTATAAAAATGAAAATAAAATAGCATGAATGGAATTCAACACAAACGTGGACATCATAAAATCTCTATGTCTGAGCTGACCTCAGTGTTCCTTTTAAGACTGCTCTATCTGARTATTTATCTCAAAAAAATCCAGTAACAAACTCAATCATAAAATGACTTATTTCACACTAAAGACTCCCTCCAATGTGCTTTATTCCCAATTACAAAAACATTTGCTACCCAGTATAAACTATTTCTTAAAATCAAAAATGAAACTAAATATATTCAAGCTCAAAATTTTTTTTCATTATTTAACAAAATGATTTAATAGCATTTTATGACCTATAGTCAGGTGGTAATTTAATACTTTCRACAAATGACTGTTTCTAATAATTATCATATAACAAATACTAAATAACACTAGCCTTCCAAAAAGAAAAGGGGGGAATATGAAAAAGACATTCCACATGTTTTTAGTTAGGTGCCAAAAAGAATCTGTGAATCGAGGTCGTATGTTCTGTCGTTTTCMCCCTCAAAGATAAAAAGCTATTCCCAAGGATCACACTGAGGACAAAATGGACTCACTCTCATTTAAAGAAATCAAAATATTAAAAACGATTGGTATCACTATCACTAAAAAATAATACTTTAAAGTAACATGGACCTAAATATGCCTCTAACTTCATTTGTTTTCAGTTTACAAAGATGAGAATTTTAGACAACCCCTTTAAAAACAAGCTGACAAAGCAAATCTTTTTAMAATTAATTACATGGGTTTATTTATATTTCTCTTTAATATTTGTACTTGTATGAATCAAAAATAAAAACTGAAATCACAATATTTTCATCAAGAATAGGAAACACTACCATTAAAAGGAAAACTCCATTAACCAAAGATGTTAAACCAAGATTCACATGATGATTTGTTAAATTTAGGCCTTTCCTGGCTCTAACAATTCTTTCCTCTAATATACGATTATTATTTAAATACACCTTCCTAAAACAAATGAGCTAACTAAAATCATATAAACCATCACTGTTATTCCCTTTTAACAGATTAGAATTTTTAAAGATTTCATAGCATTAAGATGTCTATGAAAGAAAAATTATTTGGAAGAAACACCCAATACAACTTGTCTATAATGCAGTTTAAATAATTCACTGTGTAAGCAGTTTAAATAATGCTAACCTATTTTGTCACCTAACAAAATAATCAAAGAAAAAGATTCCTAAATTGTCCAAATCAAAAACAAATACAAAATGATTCCTATCATTTCACAGGGATATCCATAGTTTCTATTTTAACTAATTGTCCACTGCAAAAATTATGGTTTTCTCATTTCGTTCTTTTTAAATATGCCAATTCAAAGTAAAACTCCTTATCCACAAGCGTCACAATTATTAAAACACAAATCACTAAAAATGTATAGCTTTAGTCTTGTCATRTTAAATACCACCAAAAGATGCTGTGTTTTGGAATATTAAAATTTTTGTTATATTATGAATGCTGATACACTCAAAAATTCTTTCACTGTTTAATTTGTAAAGAGCAGTCTTTTATAAATGCTTGGCAAATCCAAAAATTGGTACAATTTGTGGTTTAATTACTTTTTAGTGGTCCAATCTTCAGCCTACGAATAAAGTCCATGATACATGAAAATGTCCATATTGTCAAAGATCTGAGTTTTGTAAATGTTCAATACTGAACCCCAGCATAATGTTTTTCTGTATTTAATCCTCTTATTAATAACTATGATTCATAACAATTTAAGCTCTAAATAATATTCCACCTTCCATCTGCTTGTAATAGAGTTATTATTTGTGGCAAGAATTTTTGTGACTGTACTGCTCAGCACTTCTATTTACATCAGCAGTGCTAAATGCCCAATGGTGAGAGGGGAGCCAATCAGATGGCAGATTAGATGTCAACTCAGAGGCAGCTGTCTGGAGACTATTACAGCCAGTTTACCTCCACAATTCAAATTCCAAACCTTGCAAAGGAGATCAAGTCAGTCTTTAGGCTCAGCCTACTAGCAAGAAACAGCAAGAGTACAGGGCGCTTCCTAGTAGCGTTGTAGGGCTTGGGTGACAGCAAAATAAAGAAAATCCAAATAAATACGATCCAAAAAGATCCATTTTCACAGGTCTAAACTCACTAGCTATACTGAATAAAACGTATGCCTAATCCATGATCAAAAATAAGTTCAATCGATCCGGAATGTGCTCCTTTAACACAGCCTCCCTCCCGGCTGAAGGTGACTCCTTGCAGGCGGCCCGAGAGCCCGATAATGGATTTCCCCGGCCGTGCTCGGGAGCCATCGACTGCTTCCCTCCACGCCGCTGCACACTGGCCTCATTCCTGCCAGCAAACGTTCAAACTCCACGCCCGCACCGAACGCTCTGGCCGGGAAGCCCCGCTGTCACCGGGCTCCCCTCTCCAGCCTGCCCTTACCTCGGAAGCCGAGGGCGACGCAGCGGCCGGAGGAGGGAGAAAGTTCTCCCTCTCGGCCCGGTCGRGGCACGCTGCCGGCGCTGCCAGCGCGGATCCGCTCGGTACCCCAGACCCGCCGCCCCGCTCGGCTCCGCCGCGGCGGGCCTGGGATGGTGGCCCGTCCCGGGGCCTGGGCTCGCCGAGGCGGTGAGGGTGCGAGTCCGCGGCCCGGCCCGCCCGGCGCGGCCCSGCGCGGCCCGGACAGCGCGGCGGGCGCGGGGCGCGCCGAGCCGGGCGGGAGGCGGCCGCGCGAGGAAATGGCCCTGGCGCCGCGCCCCCGCCKCCCCCGCGAGAGACGCGAAAAGTACCCGGCAAAGAAAGAAACTCGGGCTCCGGCGCGCGAGGCCCCGGGCGGAAGCAGGCCCGGCCGGCGCGGGGGTTACCTGGGATCTGCCCATGGTCGGTCCGGGGGTGCCGGGGCTCATCGCCGGGTGACTCCTTTGTTGCGCGGCCGCCCAGGCCGGGCTGGCAGCGGCGTACTGGGCGCCCAGGTCCTTGCCCAAGCCCATGCCCGCGGCCGCCTGCTGGCCGCCCGCCGCCGCCCCCGCCGCCGCCGCCGCCGCCGCCTGGGACTGGGGCTGCGACGGCGGCGGCGGCGGCGCGCTGGGGCTGCTGTAGTCGGGGTAGCTGCCGCCGTAGCTCCGCATCATGGGGCTGGGCGAGGTGAGCAGCTGGTTGAGGGTCGGGGTGGCCCCCGACGGGTGCTGGTTCTGCCCGGCGAAGCGCTGGAAGCCCCCCGCCGCCGCGCCGGCGGCCGCCTTGCTGAGGCTCGCGGCCCCGCTGCCCCCGGGGCCCATCATCATGCCGCCGCCCTGCTGCCGGGGGGAGCTCAGCACCCCGTACCCCGAGGACGAGCCCCCATAGCCGCCGCCGCCGCCTCCTGCTGCTGCTGCCGCCGCCGCGGCCGCCGCCGCCACAGCTCCCGCTCCTGCTGCTGCCGCTGCTGCTGCTGCTGCTCCTCCTGCTCCTCCTCCTCCTCCTCCTCCTCCTCCTCCGCTGCCTCCTCCTCCTCCGCCGCCGCCGCCGCCGCCCGCGCCAGGCCGGCTGTAGCCCGGATAATGGTTGTACTGGCTGTTGGGGTACCCTTCGTGGGAGTTCTGCAGGGGGTCCATGCTGCTGGGGGCACCGGCGGCGGCTGAGGC